AAACCCTAAACCCTGAATCCTAAAAGGCTTGTTGGAGAGGATAGTTTTCGGGTTCAGGCTTTGGGGCTTAGTGTCTGGGGTTCGGAAGGAGGCGAGGATACACCCTAAAGGTATGTTTCAGTATATATAGGAACTATAAAGGAGCAGTATTACGAAATGTTCAGTTCCGAAGGTTCTAAGCAGAGGACAGGGTTTTAGGGTTTAAGATTTCGGCTTTGGGGTTTGAGTGGATTTAGGGGTCTAACTAGGATTTTGGGCTTAGGATACACCCTATAAAGGGCAGCAAAGGGTATATTCCGATGTACAGACTTTATAGGGGACTAATAGTCATCGTCTGCGTCTCGGACAAGAGAGTACCTGTGAATGAAGGCGCGTCCCCGGGACTGGTAGTGCGAAATATTCGGCCCCACATCATTTGAGAAATCCTCCAGTGAGGTACTGGAAACACTGGGCTTGCCTCTGAAGACTATATACATAGCGTACCTGTCCGGTTTCCTGACTTTCCTGCCGGAGCTGAAAGTTCTGTACACCGGACTGTACATATATATATATATAGACACACACACGCGCGCGTGGGTGGCTTGATGGGCCCCTAAAAGGGCCGGAGCAAATCTGGAGATGCCCTATATTTACCAGTCATCTGTTACATAAAAGCTGGCTTCTACCCAAACATCCAGCGTTATCAAGCCGCCTGATTGTCCAGGAGCTTGATGCGGAGGTCGAAGGCATACGGATCACCTTAGGGTTGGGGTCCTTGGGGGTCCGGGCTTGAGGGGGTTACGGCTTTAGGGTTTGGTTGTTTTAAGCTGAGGATTTCCCCAGGTAGTGCAGGTAGTTCCCTAAGCCTTAGGACCTAAAGGCATCGACCCAGGGAGCTCCAACATGCTCAAACCCAATTGGGCGCCAAGACCCTATCGTTTCAAACTTCGGAAGCTGTCTTGAGCCGCAGCATACAGTTTCAAATCCGTAAATCTCCGAACCCGAATTATTCTGACACCTTGCGAAGATGTTCCGTGTATAAACATCACTAACACTACATCAAAACCCCAAATGCGCCCTGTAAGCCAGACCGCCCTAGATCCTAAGCGAATCAGCAGCCATGTTGCTGCCAGGGGATCGGGTTTCGGATTATAGGCTGTGGATGCTTGGGTCTGCGGCAATGAAACCCTGAAGGTCCAAGTACCTAATAATATCATAT